TATTATAAACATTACCTTATTATAAAGATAACCTTTCACAGAATATGTATATTAACCTTTTCAAAACGTGGTAAAATGTTCGAAAAACGTTGGATATTTTCTACCTATTTATTGACATTTGAAGTTTTTTGATTTATTTTATTTGATTTTATGTAAATGAAAATGTTTGAACATTCAACACGAGGTTCATACATTTTATTTTATGGTAAAACAAATCTCAAAAGTTGAGTGCAATGCATTAGTTTTTAATAGGCTTTTTTAAGTTCAATTTCAACAAAAATCGTAATAATCGCGGCATTTCCAAACAAACAAGTTTATTCAAACAATGCTCAAGACCGGATTTCAATAACAATAAGGTAAACTATTTAAACCTATGTTTTTCGCCTTCTTAACTTTACTCCTACAACAGCACTACGACCATTAACATTATTAGCTATTTTTTTTTTTTTTTTACGTAACCTTCAGAAAAGAACACAAATTAAAATTGCCTACTTAATTTTAAGTACGTTCACAAGGTAGATGCACCGAATTCATTCTATAACCATAATGGTTGTATACTATATTTGACACCTGTTTACATGCAATGAAGGGTACCTTTAAATTTTACTTTATTATGCAGTAAGACCAGTAGGTACCTATAGCCTTTTTTTTTATTATGATTATTATTATTATAAGTAGTCTTATATTTTATCGCTTTACGAGAGTTAAACTTTTCGAGTTAATTAACATCATAATCGTAACAATATATTATTTTGTAGTACAACAATAAGAGTATTATTATAATTTGTGCGACACTATAATAATATATAATATTATTATTCGCGAATAACAATCCAAAGAAAGCACCTATGCACAAAAAAAGTAATTTCACAAGCCCGAGCGTCTTTGTAGAAATAAGAAGTTTAATGTTACGTGAAATTTAATTTAACTTACATAGTTAGGTAACAACCCGTGTAATCGCTATTTCGGTACCGCATTAAAGTTGTTGGATGTTTGCGAAAAAATAAAAACAAAATCTTACTACAGATAGGTACCTACGTTTTTTTTTTTTATCAAAATAAAATTATTATATTAAATTCCAAGTGAGTTAACATCAGTTGCATTTTACTTCATTCGTCGACAAAATAATTCGAATAAGTAAGTATCTACTAACCCGGCGGTATTTTTTCCATGCCATACATTGTTTTACTTTATACCGGTCATTTCTGATTTGTCCAATTCCCCGGCGCTTATGTAGATAATAGGCGACATTATGCGTACATTTTCCTATTGCGTTAACCCATAATTTTACTTTACTTATGAATATTGACTGAAACTTAAATGCCATTCATCATGTACATGAATACATGTTACAGTTATATGAAAAATTGTTGATGCTGGGGGCAGATATGTTATTTTGGTAGATAAGAATTTAAAAAGATATGATACGTTAAGTTATTTAACTTATATTCATTAGTAACGATAAACTATAGTTAACGATGATCAATTTGGAGCGAAATTCGGTTATACATGTTTTTAAAGCCCATATTATCAATATATAGTGTAAACAGTTTTATGAAAAAAAAAACTCAATTCTTTTTTTACTATAAAGTATGACATAATATATTTAACTTCCTGTTGAAATTTCAAGCATTTCTCTTTGATCAAACATTTTACCCACAGAATATCTATCAAATAAAAATAACGTACTAACCAATAAAATTAAAAATTAATCAAAAATCTCCTGTTCTTTTATTGGACCAATATTTCTATTAGAAAATATAAGTTACAAAAATGTAAAAACATATAGTCGTCACGCTGTAAATATTTGTCCGTTTATTCCTACGTTTTTTCCCAATTATATTAATGAAAACAACTTAAAATCGAAAAACCACTCGCCTAACGTATTAAATAAATAAAATTTTCTTTGAGAAAAAATGCGACATTTCGTACATAAGGGCACGATTTCTGTTAGACGTTTTTTACACGGTGTAGAAAAATAAAATAAATCATTATAAAATCAACACATTCCTCGTTACGGTCCGAATTTCAAATTTATACGAATGTTTTATTACGTTAAAATGAATGTATAAATCACGTAACTATTAAATACTGATAAAAGGTATAAGCAGTGGCGGCGGTGAACACTTATTTGAGTGTTGTGAAACAATGTATGGTAAAATGTTACTTTGCGGCGGTGTTACCAAGCTATTTTCCTATTGATAAAATCCTATACTATATACCTACACTGGCGTTTATCCAAACGACCTTAGAGGTGAGAATAAACCGGAACTGTTTTATATATCTTATAAGTGATTCGCATTCGGGTTATTCGGGATTTCGGTTCTATTCGTTTTAAATTGGATACCGTAAAATATTGTCGGTGGCTGCGTTCGGAACACTCGCGGCCCGTCATCCGGTATAGCCGTACTTATAAAATGACGTTAAAACATTCATCAGAGGATATAATGCTCGATAATGTTACCAGATGAAAAAATATATACGAATAAATATTTTCATGTCACGCGCGCTTTAGTCTAAACTAACCTTACAAAATATAATTTAAAACGTCTAGGTACGTATCGCGTTTATAGGTCTTATCGTGAATTCATATTATTAGTTTTTACTTTCCCGTTCGAATTGAATCTGAATAGATGGGACCTATTGGAATAAGAATTTTAAATCACTACGAAATATTTAACATTTTCACGGATATTATATAGGCCATATATATTACGGGTACCCGAACCTTTCTACAATTTTACCGAGTCAATTGAACAATAATTATCGTAATCAAAACACCAATATACATTTAACAAATTAATATAAAACCTTTTTCTTTTGAGTTCTTAAGCGCGATAAACTGTATTTTACGCTTTCCGTGTTTGTAGGGGATGTAGCCCTTCTCTTACAGGCTCTCGCTGTGGGGTGGTACCTTAGTACACAGTAGTTGTTAAAAAATATTAATGACCACCTGTATCGAACAAAGTTGAATATTACACAATTCATAATTATACTGTACGAGAAATCTGTAGGTATCTACGAGTCAAATAGTTCCGCGGTAATAACGTTGAGTAAAACTTTAAAAATTAGTTCAATCTACTTGGAAAATGGTTTTCAGACGTAGTTTTCCTAGACAATACAAAATTTATATTTATTCCACGACTTGCTGTGAAAAACCACACCGGATTATTGTAAATAGGACAGATAAATTATTATATTTAAGGTACCTAGGTGAGCAACCACATTTTATTTGGCATACCTGTTCCTTGGCGCCACCCCCGTTGTCGTTTCGCTCGGTAATAATAACTATGAAATATTTTCCGATGTGTTTTAAACAAACACCTTAGATAAAATTAGTAGAAGCCATTATTACCGCTAAATTTACATAAAACCTATTTATCTTCATTGGTTAAATTAACAGATAAGTAGTTACAGTTTAGATAGTGATTCATTTCATATTTATCTAAAGGCTTAAATTTAAATTTTAGACAATATAGTACAAATTATGTACAATAATGATTTTTTTTAATAGTAAATAATGTTCAATGCTGAATAGTTTATTTAATTGTTTGCGTTAAAAAACGACTAATGCAAGGGGGGGGCGAGTTTAAACTCAGTTGTACCCCACCTCTGATCGGTAGGTAGGTTTTATACTTGATTACCATCATTATTTACGATTTTGTATAACATACAATAATATATATAGATTGGTGAAACGAATACCTTAATGTACCCCACCTTAATGAACCGTGACTCGACGACACTTTATTAATTTTATGTAATTGACGCTTTTGCCGCCATAAGAAAAAATAAACAAATTTGACGTTAAACACCACGTAAAGTTTAATTTTTAGCAATTTATCGAATATGAAATTTAAAAACTCGAAAACTATGTATCTTAAAATATATCTATAATTATTATTAATATTTTTCTATTCTCGTTATATAATGTATTAACATAAAAATCTGCTACGTATACTAGTTTATGTTTGAAGTAAAGTTTTCAATCATAATAATATTATAATATAAGACGAATCTTAGATAACCCACTTTTAGTTAGATAATAATTAGGACAATTTAAAAGAGCTTCTAGCTTGTAGCCGGTTAGGTCATATTATCATTACGTTTAAAACGTGTTAGCCAAGCGATATTTTAGAAACAATTAATAATTCAGTATTAGTAAGACATTTAAAGTTGCGGGTATTTATAATTTACTCGGGAATATCGATCGACTGACGATAAAATTATAATCCTAAATAGGTATCTACATTATATTGGAACTACTGTATTACTTTTTTTAATAATAATAATACATATACAGTGAAATAAAATGTCATTAATATTTAAAGTTCAAATTATTTAATCGCATAAACTAAAACCTATGCAATTTATTTATTATATATGCTGTAATTTTTATTGTTAATTTAATTAAGTCGTCTCATCTATACACTGCAATTATTTACTGTGTTTATTTTATTTATGGTATCAAAATTGAATGGAACAATATACTTGCCGAAGCAAAATGAAAATTTATTACCTTAATTTTAAATTGTTCAATTAGCCCTCTCCCTAATTCTAAGTATTGTTTAGTTCACTTTTGCGGCATAATTACTAACCAAAAAAAGTTTCACGTATCTTTTTTCGTATCAACTATAAAGCGAAATTATGAAAAAAAAAAAACCCCCTCATAAATGTACGTTAAATAAACGTAAATTACCTTAAAGGCTGGTACAATTGCATCAAGCATACACCGGTCACTGTCTCATTGATCTATAAACTTGCGATTATAATAACACGATCTAAAATATTTGTCTTTCGCTTCTAAAGTACAAACTAATATATAGTTGGCCGATAATATTGTTTTCAGACTGTAGCCTTGACAATATAAACCGTAATTATCAACAAATAACAGTACAGATTACAAGACATTTAAATAAAGACTACTTTTGTAAACTAATTATTTTATATTAAATTTTGATTCAGCGTTTAAAAACACTGTTATTTACCTAATCCAGAAGATGGACTATTCATATGTAGCTCGCAAATACGAAAAATTGGTAACTCTGTATAATATTTTGTTCAATAAGGGCACTAGTTCACCAATCGAATATAAATACTTAAAAAATGTAAATAAACATAATTTAACAAAGTCCCGACAAATGAATACTTCGTGTGTACAAATCCAAATGCAAAACACGTTAGCATAATTTAATATCATGTATTAATAGTTCTATAAATTTCATGTATAGTTATTTACATGTAATCCATAGATATCTCACCAAGGAAAGCTATTATTTAAGGGAATTAAAATTGTTGAAAAACCCGTTGTGCTTCGATCATTTTTGTAAAGAGATCGCTCCGGTCCTACTGGACACATTTTTTCAGGTAAAGTATATTAAAATAGAATAATATTAGTTTATGTGTAATATATGATTCACTCAATTAGGATTATTCATTATTTTGGATAGTAAAAACATTTTTATTTTTTTGTTTTGAAACCTTAAACAACATTTAGTTCTATTAATAGTTTTAAAATTTTACATTACCATTTTTTTTTGTCATCCTTATTTTGGGTGTGAAACCACTACCTACTTTTGATTTTCAAATTGCAACCTATGTGTAAATGGCCTTAAATAGTTATTAGTATTAGTTAAAATAAACTTTGGTGTTGACATTTTTGATTTCCGACAACCCGTTGACGAGATTTTCCACTTTTAAGTTTCGGTCGGTGGAAGAGTGATGGAAAAAATTTAAATGCCTCATGCATTTCATTACCTGGGAGTTTTGAGTATTACTTCGAGAGTTGTAATTAGTAAAACCCAAATTAAAATATCCGCGATAAGGTAAAACAACGGTTCTGATAATAACACATCACCTATCATTCCCATATTTTGAAAAAACTCCTAGCAAAATCAAAAAATTCACTGGCATAAAGTATCACCCCAGTCATTTTTCTTTTGAGAAAATCTACTATCATGGTAAATCGGAGCGAAATTGCTGACAGAAAAGTTGTTCGTAGATAGAAAAAAAAAAATTGCTTTTGTCCATAACGTCAACATCATTGTAAAACCAATGCATTCCTCGCTCCATTCAGAATCAAAAAATTAAATTTTTACAGAAACAAGTATACAAATATACTATATAGTATAAACATATAAATACTTGATTATGTTAAAAATTCCCACACTGGAAAAAAAAGGGAGTTGACAATTGTATATTAGTGGCCGAAAATTGTATTTCTCGTTTTTCTCGAAACCTAATTACCAGTTTTCATATTTTTTCTGACTCTTGTTAAAAACTATAAAATACTAAGAGTATATCACTTTCCCACCACCAATCCATACTAATAATCCCCATGTAAAAATAAGCATATTACATAGAATTAATTCTTATGAACATTTTCACGTTTTAAGTTATTTTCGTTAAATTCGTAATTTTTGATAATTTGTTAAATTTCCGAGAAAAGTACCTTTAATTAATTATACAGCAGACTGTTATCGAGTTTGCTAATTGATTTTTATTATTATAGCTAATTGACTGTATATTTTTTTCTTTGAATTTTAAAAAAATATTAAAAATCACAAATTTAATGAAAATAAAAAGTTGATGCGCCAAAACTTTTAATATTATGAACTCTATAAAATCGCTTACTTCAAAAAAAAAAAAAAATCTATTGAAATATAAGCATGTGTAGTCATTAACCTTATGAGTAATATGTATAAAAAAAAAAAAATAAATAAAGTTTGATCATCTTCATTATGTCCGGAGATATTATAATGGTTCTTTGAGGCACACCCTGTATATATTAAGACAAATATTGTAGTTTTAGATCAATATTTATTAGGACTTTTTAAAACGATGTACGATCAAATATACGTGTAAAATAATGCGGTCGTGAAAGCGTTATTTTTTAAAAATATAATAAACATGAACGTTCCAAACACTGAATTCAATATGTTACAACTTATTATATGCACCTATTTGTAAAAACATAAAACTAATATAATAGTTTTTTTTTTTTTTTTAGGAACGCTTAAATAATGTCAACATTAATATAACAGAATTAAAACAATTGCAGAATAAGCAAATATTAAATAACTCTGAAATTGCTCAATGGGCTAAAAATTGTAACAAATTGAAAACAAAAATATTAACGTGTGAAAAAGAAGAGATATTATGTAATTGTATTATGTATTTGATTGGTCAACTTAATAAAAAAACCGAGATAGTAAATAATATCGTTAGTGATACAAAAAATATTAGAACCAAATTAGCTGATGAAGCAAATAAATCAATAGAAAAAGATAATAGGATAAAAGAAATAACATTGGAAACATGTCAACTTAAAAAAGAAAATGAAAAAATACAAGTCGAAATGATAGAATTCGTTAAAAATTGTAACACGATTTTAAATTCGGCGGAAGAAAGTTTGAAAATTCAAGGTGTAGAGATATTTGAAAGAAGAAATGAGGTTATTCAACTTGAAGACGAGATAAACGAGTACAAAGATATCATTTTTGAACTAGAATCTGAAATTAAATTCGACGAATATCAAAAATTGAAGAAAAAATACGATTTGTTACAAGAAAAAAACATTGAGTCTAAAAAAATCTGTGATTATTTAAATACAAAATGTTTGGAATTCGTAAATATGGCAAATACATCCATTGCACAGTCAAACAGATTAGAACGAATGAACAGAAATTTGGTATCCATTACAAATGAATCAATCAACAGGCTTGATCAAAACCAAAATAAATTACACCAATTTATGAATTTAGGAGATCTTTTAGAATCCGAAAATAAATTATCAGCTGAAAGGTTCAATAAGCTAAACAACACATATCGGACACTCAAAACGCAATTTGACGAACAAACTAAAACCATTGAGAGTAACAATCATATGAAAAAATTGTGGACAGATAAATTGAAGTCTGCGAATAAAAGAGCGATGATAAAAGATGCTGAGCTGGTAAGATCAAATCGGAGAATTACTCGACTTACAAAACAGATAAGCGATTTCAAAATGAAGAAAAATGTTGTTGGTTCGACTAAATCGAGTGTTAAATCAGTACAATTAAACAAAAAGGTAATTACATCAAATAAACCAATAGCAATAAGGAATATAAAACCAGCTGTGAGAATAGTGCCCGACAAGGAAAATGAAAGTATCGAAATTAAAAATAATCCAGTTGAAAAAGATGCAAGATGTATTAACATTGCAAACTGAAGAAAACTCAATCATAGATACCGCAGAAAAAAATTAAAAAAATACCAACTTAATAAAAAAACACAAACAGAACAGGTTTTCAATATCATTTATATTATTATTGTTGTATACCAGTATTAGCATACATACTTGTATAATTAGGCATGGTATTCAGTATCGGCTTTGCGTATCCCCGGTCACTATTTTCTTCTGTAGTCTCAATTTATTATCATTATATCGCATTAATTATTGATCGAGGACCAAAGACATTCGGTTAATAAGTTCATGTCTTGACTACAAAATCATATTAACTTTGTATTTCAATTTTAAAACTAGGATAACCATTTTTATTCATAATTTAAAAAAGATTTACTACTGTGGATGGTTGTACCACTGTATTAGGTGAGACTTCGGGAATGTAGGACATAAAAAGTAATTTAATGTATATCTGTCATTGTTGAACAACCATTGCTAACGAATAACGATTCGGAGCGAATTTCAGTTAATATATATTTTGAAAGTCCATAATTTTTGACTTTGTATTTATCGTGGTGCGCAAAAAATAGAAAAAAGAGACGAGATAGCTTTTTGTAAGCATTTAAAAACAAACAAATGTTTCTAGGTTTTAGAAGGAAATCAAAATAAATTTTATTTAATTTTCTGATAGTATTATAAAGTTTATAAAAAGAAGAAAAATTGCTTAAAAAACTAAAAATAAACACTTTAATTGTCAAAAAATGCTCTAAAAATAAAAAAATTCTAAAAATGAAAAAATTCAAGTTTCATGTTTTAATATTTTGGTATATGAAACAATTTTTGTGCTTGGAAAGCATTGCTTTGGGAAATTTGGAAAAAAGTGCAAATTGTATTATAAACCGTACCCTAATCGTTATTAAATAACAAGACGGGCATGCGAGTCTTATAATTAATTTAACTTGTCCAACTTCATCCGGCAGTATTTTCATAAAGGTAATTATTTTAAATCAAGTTTTGTTTACTATAATTAATAATATATTTTTATAATTGAAAAATGAAGAAATGCTGGGAAAAAGTCACATAGGTTATAACTTATTTAACATGTTAAAAAAAATCACACAATATTTTCCGAGTGTTTATAAAAATGAATTACTATCGATGAGTTAACATATGAAATCGATATTAGGTTTAAAAATTGCGATGTAGGTACTACATAACAATTTGATAAGTGGTGGTTTCAGAGTCACCCCTTTACAAATATTCTCGTTTATACTTTTATTTATATAGAAAATTATATAATATAGTAAATTAATATTTATTTATAATGTGTATATTTTTTTCAAGTAATCCAAGTAAAACGCCAATAAGACTAAAAGACAAACCAGATAAAAAGATTATTGCTACGCTGTCGATAGTGAACAATCAAACTAAAGGTAACTTACAGTGTTGCCCCAAAGTATCATTCTCTTAAAAACCCGTTGAAACACATTCCAACTTATTACAACGGAGACCTTTTCGATAAGAAACTGGTAACATATGTCATATATCTATTTATATTTTCTATCTACTTTGCGTACCAGAAAATATTTCAACCATATTTAATTATTATTTCAGTGTCCAAAAATTATAGATACTTGTACACACCAAGTCAACGCTACACATCATGAATAATGTTAAAGTTCTTAATTTACTAATTTTATTACACATCCAGGTTATCGAATCAAATTTCGATATGATATCGTTTCGTGATTGGGGTTTGTTTTTTTCTTTTTTTGCGCTTGTAGGATGGTCTCAAGGTTAAAGTTTTGTCTTGTTTATTATCAATATACCTAGGACGTCCTACATTTCAAAATACTGATTCATTAATTTTTAGTTTTAGTTTTGTATTAGCCTCACGATTGTTCAATACAATACCTACTGCTGTAGTTTCGTTTGCAATTAAGTAAGATATACGTCTTAAAGGTCTTTTGTAAAATACCTACCTTTAGGATCCTATCACTGGATAGCTTTTCCAATTACAGTCTTACATGTCTTTATCAATTCTATTTCTACTTTTATTTGTATAATATAAGTTTTACAGCTTGTAAATGTTCGTTTTAATAACAAAAACGAAGGATATCTTGTTTTATTACTATTTGTATTCGTGATTAAAAACCTTTTTGGTCCTAAATCGACTCACTGTCATCCGTTTTGATAATTCTTAATATGGTGTATAAATTGTTATACAATATTGTAGTACAACTCACGTTTAGTCGCTCAATTTGTCTCAATACGCTGTAGTACAGTGTTTACTTCATAGTGACGAGTATAGCGACTGAACGGTAGTATACCCAATACCGGATTTAACCATTGTGCCGCTTTAAGCACTAAAAAATTGCCGCCTTTTATATAAATATTTTTCTAGTCTAAAAAATGTTATTAAAACATACAATTATAGTTGTTTCCTTTATTACTTAAAATTTTAACGATGTAAAATAAAAATATACAGTTGTTATAAAAATCTATGCATACATTCATATGAAAAACGTAACTGAATAAAGCTGTACTGTATAGCTGTATATCCAGGGCCGTATTTGACAGAGGGTTTTTAAGGGCACTTGCTCCGGGTAGCAGATATTCGGGGGGGGGGGGACATCCGGATTCCGGAATACTACGTGAAAAATTTAAAACTCTGTTACCCTTGGTTAAGGAAATTTATGAAAAAAAAAAAATATCAATTCCTAAAAATCTTTATTTGATTTGTATTTATATGGTTTGAGCTGCAAATAAATAAATCAAAATTTTACGTGACAACATAATGGCAATGGGATACTCAGTGAACATAAAATATTTTAATATATAGGTATAAACGTTTCAATGGTCAGTAGTTTTTGCTTTTAAATAATTAATGTAACAGCGTGAATATTTGATTTCAAAATTGTAATTAATAAAATGTTATAAGATTAATATACTTAATTTTACTTTAAAATTTACGAAGGTTCAATAAAATTATTATAATATTTATGTATTTAAATAAATATTGAAATTTGTGATACATGAACAGCAGTATAGTTTTAACGTGAAAGTTTGCAAATTTTTAATTTTCCATGAACTACGTAGATATTGGTTAATTATAATTACTTTACTTCTAAGGACCTCAAAAAAAGATTTGCTCCGGCATATGAAAGTCTAAACCCCGCTTTGTGTATATCATTCGTATTTAAAGGTAGAGTATTCCGTATTTGTCCATTATACAGTGACACGGTGTGCCCCACCATGTTCGACGGATTTTTGTTGCGCTGTTAATTTTCAATTTTTTTCGATTTTTTTTTTTTTTCAATCGATTCGTCTTCGAGGGGGACATCGATTTGGAGAAAAATTAAATTTTTTATTGCATCCCCCGAACACAAAACAAATAACTTTATTTATTAACTTTAGAAAATTTTCAAAATAGCAATTTTTAAAAATATTATTCTAAAGATTTTAATGTATCCTACACTCATATCCGATTAATATTTTCTCAATTATAGCCGTTTAAATTTTTTAAAAAGTTGATGAAAATTAAAACTCTATTTTTATCCAAATCGATGTCCCCCTCGAAGACAAACCGATTGAAAAAATTTAATATTAACAGCGCTAGAAAAAATTATTGACCACGGTGGGAGACACTGTATGAGATACCACATAATATTTTAGTTGGATAGTTTATTACATTATTTATTACCGTATAATCTATACAAATATTATCAGATAACGTTACGGTTGTTGATGGGTTTTGTTACTTCATCGGATAATCGGATAACCTCATTTTCAATTATTGAAAGATTTGTCCACGTGAGCAACTAATATTGAATACACATAGTGAAAAAAGAAACATAGCACGTTAACGAAGTCAAATGCGTTCTAATTGACCCAATTAAGATCGAAACCATAGACATTAATTATTTTCCTATAAAACCTACCCTGTCCAACAAATGTCTACATCATCATATAAATAAATATAACAAACATACTAAATCATAAGATTATGATTAAATATGTATTTTTTTTAAATTAGTATTTAGTCATTTGAATTTATACAAAATGTAATAAAAAAAAAAATGGGGTGTGCACGTTTAGTGAATCATCCTGTATACAGCGAATTATGAGTTATCGTAATGGATGACAGTGTGACTCTAACGGTTAAGTTATATCGCTCGGTGCGTGGGCATATTTTTTTGCCCCTAGGCACGGCCCTGAGAATGATAATATTATAAGGTACACTACAAAACATCAACGAAACCCAAAATCTCTCCCTGTATGCAAACAAAATCTCGGAAATAACGTTAAAAAAACTTAAATAACTTTCGCGAGGCCAATAGAAACTATGGATAACTGAAAATCGGCGAATCAATTATTTTAAATAAAGAACAGATCCTAAACCTTGAGCCGAGACCTAGAAAAGACGAAAATCAAACAAAAATCGAGAACCAAATATCATATGAAAACCCATAGGGACAATTTGGCATGTAATGTGATCACATAAATAGCTGTATGCCGGTAGCATTATTCTTACTGTACAGCGTTGGCTAGTATTGTGGTCGAGAAGTGTACCATGTAGCCAAATTGATATTTAAGTCAAGCAATGGGGACACAAACAAACATTAAGAAGTGTTTAGAAATTTGACAGTGTATTACTGATAAGACGATAATCAACCGAATATTTACGAGAACAAATTATAACGGATAATTTACAGAAAGTTGACAGAAAATTGACTAGAAAATTATCGTTGATTTATCAAAATCTGACAGAATATTTACCAAAAATCCGATTAAAACTGCAAAAAAATTTAAGAAAAACTGAATGAAAATTTGAACAGACCTATTTAATCTGCATTAATTGATTTTGATAATTTGACTTACTTTATGTTAGCAGTTTGTACCTATAAAGTATGTTATTATGTAGCATCGATATAGTGTAAACATACATTTCACGAAATTGATATCCATTTTATGCACTTCGATCGGGTGGAACCGTTTTTGGTCAAAATTAACTTTTCCCTTTTCAGCCAGTGTTACTTTTGTAA